GATTATATTTTTTGGGTCATTACCCAGTATTCAATGTATTTTTTTGGGAATTATTACCTAATATTGCTAGATTAATAAAATTTTCTACGATTTTACTCCAAAAAGATATTTTGCATTTCATTTCAAAGAAGTATCAATACAAAAGTGAGGCTATAAACCGCCTTTCTTAAAAAAAAAAATCAAAAGTCTCAAACACTCTAACTGCTCTCACGGTCGTCCTCCACCTCTTCCTCGTCATCCTCAATATCATTAGAGCCCNATGGACAAGTAGAGGTCATGGTGAGAACGGTGCTATGTAACTTAAAGACAAGGCTTGAAAGAGCGAAGGGTCTTTGAATGGATGAACTACTAGGCGTATTGTGGGCCTATCGAACCACGCCAAGAACTCCTACTAGAGAGACGCCTTTCTCCCTTGCCTTTGGAACCGAGGCGATTATCCCTGTGGAGATAGGGGTACACTCTCTAAAGGTCCAACACCACAATCTTATCACCAATGAGGAAGGACTCCGCATCAACCTCGACTTGATGGAGGAGGCAAGGGAAATGACCGTGGTCCGCAATGCAAAGTACAAATAACGCATGGCGAAGTACTACAATTCGAGGGTGAAGCCTCATTATTTCCAACCAGGGGACTTGGTCCTCAAGAAAGTAATCCTCGCCACAAAGGATGCATGCGAAGGGAAACTGTGACCAAATTAGGAAGGACCCTACCTCATAACAAAAGTAGTGAGGCCAGACACCTACAAGATCCAGAATTTTAAGGAGAAATTCTTACTCCATCCATGGAATGCGGAAACACTTGAAGATGTATTACCAATGACACCTTGAGAGTATCAAAGTAGTGGAAGTTGGGACTTGATTATATTTTTTGGGTCATTACCCAATATTCAATGTATTTTTTTGGGAATTATTACCTAATATTGCTAGATTAATAAAATTTTCTACGATTTTACTCCAAAAAGATATTTTGCATTTCATTTCAAAGAAGTATCAATACAAAAGTGAGGCTATAAACCGCCTTTCTTAAAAAAAAAAATCAAAAGTCTCAAACACTCTAACTGCTCTCACGGTCGTCCTCCACCTCTTCCTCGTCATCCTCAATATCATTAGAGCCCCCTTTACTATCCTCAGTAGGCACGAAACCTGAGAAGTCAATATCAGGGAAAGCAACAAAGATCTTCCCTCGGAGCTCCTCGTAACCATCAACGAAAGCATCTACAAGGTCATTCTCCAAGTCCACCTCAGCACAAGAAGCCCTTTCCCGAGTAGCCTCTACCTCTGCCTCCTTAGCAGCCTCTTTGAGCATGGCCCTCCCATGAGCCTCTGCAAGCTCAACCTCCCTAAGCACGTTCCTCTTGTGGGTCGTTAGATGCTTAGCCTCAAGTTTAGTTGCCCACTCACGGGCCTCAATAAGCTCACCTTTCCTAAGTGCGTTCCTCTCGCTGGTCACCAAAAGCCCAGACTCAAGCTTGGATGCCCTCTCATGAGCTGTAAAAAACTCATCTCGAGAAGTACTACTGGCTGCCTCGAACTTGGCAATCTTCTCCTGAGCAATAAGAAGCTCTTTTTGCATGATGTCAAGATCCAGCTTCAGCTTGTCGTGATTATAGGCCCTTGAAATCAAGCAGATAGATGAAGTCAAAACCTGAAAAAGGTAAAAGATGGAGAGGTGACAAAAGACATAAGAAGGAAGTGGAGAAAGGGAAATATCAAACCCTTACCTGAGCTAGGCCTTCCAAATATGTGTCGACAACCCTCTCAGTGCCTGAAGTGCTAAGCTGACAGACTTCGGGTGCAAACGCAAACATCCCAAACCTTTCTCTAATGACTGGCAGTCTGCCCAGCATGGGACCAAACCAAGTCAGTCCTCTTATGGAAGTTCCCACACGAGGAGGGGACAAAGGAGGAGCAGAAGGTGTGTCCGGCAAAGAAGACTCTGGAGTAGCAACTGGAGAAGTCGTTAGCTGAGGAGGCACCACCGTAGAAGTCACTTGGGGGACATCACATGTCCTCACTACCACCCTCTTATTTGCTACAAAAGTAACAAAGTATCACGAAGACGAAAAATATCAAGGGAAAGAGGAGATTAAAGGAGGAAATTAACTCACCCTTCTTCTTTGAAGAGGAGCTATCAGATTTCGGAGAGGGAGCAGTGGCCCTAGCAACCTTGGGCAGAAGAGCTCCCAAATCTTTGTGAAGGCAAGCCTTGACGGCCTACAACTTCCATTCTTAGTCTTGAGAGAGCAAATGCATNAGGCATAAGAGCTCCCAAATCTTTGTGAAGGCAAGCCTTGACGGCCTGCAACTTTCATTCTTAGTCTTGAGAGAGCAAATGCATGTCTACAAAGTAACGGTGAGCGTGCATATAAAAAAAATAGAGCAAATGTGCGGCGTACCGGGTTTTCTGGCAATACCCACGGTATTGGTACTAAGGCTCTGTCAGCTTCTGCAGCCCACTCTCCATCGACAAAGAAAAAGTGAGATTTCCAGTCGTGGCAGTTGGAGCGTAGTCCCATAAGTACCGTATCACTTATTGTGGTAAAATAGTAGCACCCCCTATTTGGTGTAGGAGTTTCGCTCAAATTGTAAGCTGCATGGAACTCCACTAGAGAAACATATTCATGATGCACTTTCCTCCATAATACAAGAAAGCCCAGCAAAACTCTCCAACCATTAGGCGCTAATCGCTCTAGAGTCAAGGAAAAGTAATGCAAAATGCGACAAATGGGAGAGAACATGGAAAATCTAAGCCCAACCTCAAGCATCTCCTCGTAAACAACAATATTACCAAAGAAGTCGTAGCAAGCAAGCTCGCCCGTCTCAGTCCAACGACACAGCATAGTCGAAAGAATACGATAAGCAGAAACAAGCCTCAAGATATCTTCATTTGAATTGAACAAACTAGAAAGGATACTCACCTTAGACCCATCGTTATCAAGTCCCACTTTACCTTTGCGCTTCTTTTTTCGGGGCCGTAAGAAGTGGCCCGAGCCATCGTCTTAAGGGATTTGGCTTTGAGAAGTCAAACTTGGAAGAGTCAGGTTGTGATCACCAAAAGCGGCACCCAAAGTTTTCTTGTCGCCTGCAACGTTTAGCCTAGCACCCGGAGAGGTGCCTGACGCTCCATGCTCGCCCAAACGAGATAGCCCAGCACCTGGAGAGGTGCCTGATTCCCTCTGCTCGCCCAAACGGGGCAGCCTAGCGCTGCTGAGCCCTCCAAAGTTGCGCAAACCAGCACCTGGAGTGGCGCCCAGATCTGCCCCTGCAGTGTTTTCGATGCTCAGGCATCCCATTTTGACTCCCAGGCTACTGCCCAACTCTCCACGTTGCTCCCTGGCCCGAGTTCCTACACCTCCAACTGAAAAAGGGCTACTGTCTAGCGCGCCACTGCTGTCCAGGATAGCATCAGCGGCACCCAGGCAATTTGTATTGGCGCCCAGGCTGCTGCCCAGCTCTCTACGCTGCTCCTTGGCCTGAATTCCTACACCTCCAACTGAAGAGGGGCTGCTGTCCAGTGCGCCTAAGCTGTCTAGGACAGCATTAGCGGTGTCCAGACTGCTACCCATCTCGCCTACGTTGTCCACCATACTTCCTGCACACCTATTTGGGTAGGACACCTCGCCAAAGTAGCCCAAATCAGCACCTAAGGTGCCCAGACCAACTCCTAAGACAGCTCCCACAGCCCTTTTCGCGAGCTGCTGGTGCGCGCCCATGGTAGCGGCAGCCAGCAGGGATTTTTCTCTTTCTCCTCCTTCAATCCTTGTAGCTCCAAGAACTCCGGAACCACTTGTTTCAGCCCCAATTTTTCCACCTCCTTCAAAGGTTTCAAGCTCTACCTTTTCTCTCTCAAGTCTCTATGGAATGGAAAGAACTTAGCTCACAAGGATAGGCTCTCAAGGTTTTCAAAGAATGGGTGCTCAACCTTAAAGTGAATGAAATGGGTAGAATGGAGAAGAAGGTTATATTTATAGCCTAGGGTTTTTAAAGAGGGAAAAACCCAAATTGAAAATTATGAGCCCTCTTAAAAATCTTAGCAAAAGTGGGAAAGACTTGAAGTGTGCACCAAAGCAAGTGAAGAGTCATCTAGAAAAGGAAGTCTCCGTCACTTATAACTCAAGATGCAATGCACCCATCTCCAAGTTTCCTTTGACACGGGGCATTGGGGGACAAATGATGGGTAAATCTCAAATAGCCCAATTTATGAGGAAAACCCAATCCCAATTAAGGAGCCCAACCTTGTAAAAGACCCACCAAACCCAACACAGTCCAAGACCATTCAGACTCTTTGCTTGGCTACGTCATCAAGAAAGAGAGCATGAGGGCCTCACTTGCACTGCAGAGGAAATAGTCCATCCTTACCTCATCTTTGACCGCATCTCATAGAGAACTCCTCAACCTCCTCGCCCATTGAGAAGAAGTCGTGAGCTCCACCAGAATAGTTATTTAGTTGCTATAAAATAGCCTCAATCTGTTAGGGAGCCACTATAAATTGCACACACCCACCAACACTTAGGAGGTATCACACTTTTACCTGGGCACGACTCTCCCCTCTTCCTCAAAGTTTGTATTCTCTGCTACCCACACCCTTAAGTTAATAAAATATTCGGCGACCAAAGCCATTCAAGAGTAGACGTAGGTTACATTGATCGAACCACTATAAATGTTGTCTCCTCCATGTCTCTTTATTTTAATTACGCATTTATTACTACACTTGACAGGTAGTGTGCAAAACCATTTTGTGCATCATCAGTATATATTATAATAAACATGTTAAAGGAGAATGGCTTGAGAAACTTTGCTTTTCCATTTCTAATTATATTGTTAAAATTTAGATTTTTTTTAATAAAAAACAATCTTTCACCCAATCATGTTCTTAGGCATACATAACCTCCCTCGTTACTCTCATCAACCCACTGTTTGTTCAACTTCTCACTCTTTTTTTGACTTATCCTCTAATTTTTATTTTTATTTTATATTCCCTTCTCTTCTCTTCAAGGAGGATGGGAAAAGAGGAGGTATAATATTAGGAAGGATAGAGATGTAAATATAATGCATTGCACATATTTGATGTAAATATTAAGAGGAATGCTATATTTTTATGGGGGAAGAGGAAAGGGAAGAGGAGGGAGACTTGAACCCTTGATCTCAAGGAAGCAAAACCTTTATGAGATAATGAGTACCATTAGACCAAAGACCCATTGGTAAAAACAAATGTTATTATGACTTAATTTATTGACATAATTTGTGGACCTAATTTACTATCACGACCCTATCAAATATTAGAATTTAATGTTGATCCTATAATTCTTATGAAGCAACATCATAATATCAACAATTATGTCAAATTTTTAGGTTAAAATAATTTTACTCAAATATTAATTATAACAATGATATTATATCATTATTACCCTGTAATTTCAACATTTAAGAGTATTTTTAACCATTACTTAAATTTAAATTAACATTTAAGTAAAAAATTTAATTTGATATAAAGAACTTTCATGGATAAACTCAAATTTAAAAAAAGAGAGATTCAAATTTAAACGAGGGTAAACCTAAATTTAAAAGGGAGTAAAAATGATCATTATATATTTAAAAAATGATAAAATGTCACAATTAAATATTTTAGTAAAGATTTGAGTCTCTCTTGATTTAAATAAAAAAAAATGAGCTTTCTTGATTTGGTATAAGTTTAAGTAAAAGTTAAAACAAATTTTTTAGATTTTTTTTATTTAAATTTAAATTTAAATAAGCGCAGAAGATGCTTAATAACAAATTTATAAGCGTGAAGATGAATCTCTCTCTCGCCCACACACACACACACACACACACACACCAAACTCTGTTGTTATCCTAGAAAAAGCACCAAACATTCCCCTGTAATCTTTGCAAACAAAAAATAGCACCGACCTCTCATACCCATTTACCCAAAAAAATGAAGAGAAAACCCTCTCATTCTCGAACCCGACGTCGGCCAAAACAAACCCCTAACTGGCTACAACTCCCATCGGACGTGACTGCCTCAATACTTCACAGGGTGGGGGCAATAGACATACTGGAGAATGTACAGAAGGTGTGCACTACCTGGCGGAGAATATGCAAAGACCCGGCCATGTGGAGAGTCATAGATATGTGCAATTTGGGGGATTTGCATAGCATACCCTATGATCTTGAGAAGATGTGTAGGCACGCCGTTGATCGGAGCCAAGGTCAATTAATCGATATCAATATCGAGTACTTCGGCACCGACGAATTGCTCGAGTACATTGCCGATCGGTACTGCTCCCACTTTTTTNTTTTATCATCTTGTATTTGAAGGTCCTTCAATTAATAAAAGGGATATGTTGGATTTGTGATTAAGTTTCCTAGTGGAGGTTTTGGAGATTGGTTTCCCTCGAAGTGAACCACCGAAGGTTTTCACCCCTTTTTCGAGCGGGTTTTTCTTTCCCCAATTCAATTTTTTGTTTTGTTTATATTTCTTCAAAAATGTCTACGTAACATTTGGTATCAAAGTGAGGCGATCCTATTATTGGCTACTCCATTGGAAATTTTGAAATTGATGCGTGACAATTTCCAAAAACATTCCACAAGTTGATTGAGGAAAATCGACGCATGAAAGAAGGTTTCAGCAAACTCAAGAAAATTCTTCTAGAGGAAAATTCAGATGCCAATCAACTTGTTTTATACTTTCATTACCAAGATCGTGAGCAGGTACTTCTATGCAAGAAAAATGCATCAATTGATCATCCATCAAGTAATCATAAAATAAATTGTTCTATTGATGAGAAGTTGAAGAAGTCTTCCACCAGGACAAAACAAAATGTCAGTTGCAAGAGAATTGAAGGTTCACATATTGAAGGGATAGCACAAAAGGCTAAATTTTGGGAGTCGATGGAGTCAAAGTTGCAACCACTAGACTGTGAGGCATGCCTAGGAATTGTGTACGACCTTGCCTATTACAAGGACAAGCAACTGATGGAGCATGTTCAAGCTACCCATATAAATCCAGCCCTTTGGATCATTATTGTAGGTCGTTTTGGAGTCGTGAGGCCAAATATCACGTTGATTGTTATGAGGACACGGAGGTGGGTTGGCTGCTTCCTTGTTTCATGACAATTAAACTTTGAGGACAATTTTTAAAAGGAAGTGGGATGACTCCTCATAGTATTTGTGAGAATGTTCTAGTTGGTTACTTAGATGGTGGTGTCATGGGTTAGGTTAGTTGTTATGATAGTTTTTATCATTTTATATTTAAAAGCTCTTCATCAATGAAATGGATATGTTGGATTTCTGGTTAGCTTTCCTAGTAAACATTTTGGAGATCGGTTTCCCTCAAAATGAACTACTAGAGACTTTCACTCTCCTATAAGTGGATTTTTTTCCCAGTTCTATTTTCGTTTTGTTTATATTTTCTCAAAAAATGTGCACGTAACACATGTATATATGTAGTTTATGATTTACTTTTTGAATAAATGACATGTAAACCCTATGGATTGGACAACTTGCAAATAATTTGATTTGATGGTAGAAGCATGTTACGATCTTACATTGGTTAAAAATATGATTAGATGGGTGTAGATGAACTCTTCGGCACCCCTTGAAAACCAATTTTAAATTTCATAACAAAATATGAACAGAACCATCTTAGAAAATAGTGATCATTCACAGAGACAGAACAAGGACTCCATCTTGAAGGCCAAACAATGACATACTCTAAGAATTTTACGTAACAGTATATGTTTTTAGTTATACAAATATATGAAATCCAATTTCATACAATACCATTGTAGTTTGGATTATCAAATCCAAAAATTGGCTCTTATAATTGTAAAAGTTAGTCTATGATAGTGTCACAATCCTTTTGGTCGACGTAACGTAATGACTTTTTGAATAAATTACCCTCACATATAAGATTTTCACACAATACCATAGTAAAATTAAGTCATGAGTCATTGCATTGTTTTTTATATGAGCAACATTTATAATTTGATTTTGTTAAAATTTCGCACATATTTTTAATTTTCTATAGTCATTAGACTTGTCCAATCAATTATCTTCGATGGTAAGAATAATACTCATCTATCTATCTAATATTATGGGTAGAAAATTGGATTCTTAACTTATAAAAGCACAACAACGGTCAAGACTAATCCGATTTTCATTTACTTTGATCCAATGATACAAAATTCATCTCAAAAAAATTTTTCCCCTAAAAAATACCACTTTTTTTTGCATAACTTCCAATGCTACACACCTTAACTAACATACTCCCCTATACCAAACAATATCATTAATCCACATCAAAATTTTTCTTCTCTTTCCCCTTACCTCTCTCTGTTCACTTTAATTTAAAATTATGTAATTAAAGAAAAGGAAACAAAAAATAAGCTGTNTTTTTCTTCTCTTTCCCCTTACCTCTCTCTGTTCACTTTAATTTAAAATTATGTAATTAAAGAAAAGGAAACAAAAAATAAGCTGTTATGTAAAATATAAATATTGTACGATGAATATTCGATTTTTAGTATTACAATTGCATTTAGGCACGGCATTATTGCTAGTTTAACTATATCTCTAGTTTGATTATTTATAGCTCATTGATATTGAATACACTAAGTGAATTGCCTACATGTAAGCTTTTTTGAAAACTGAAAAGTGAACATAGGAGTCATGTAAAACTTATGGGGCCTATGCATACACATAGATACAGATGCCCCAACTAGCCCCCACCCCACCCCTTTTTCCGGCCACCTCCCAAAACACAGAGACCGCTCGGCCCCATTCCCTTACGACCATTAGATTCACCCATTCCCATGAAGGCTACCACCCAAATCAATGTTCCTTCCCCTTTGGACAACCACTATATTTGCCTCATCTAGCTCTTCCAGACACCACTCTACACCCAACAATGTAGTAATCTGTATATAGTTGAACAAGGTTATAGCAATTATCAACTAAGACGTGACAAATCTCTATCTTTAAGGGTAGATTTTACCCCTTGGAGACCTTGCCTTGATGCAATAGATCAATGACGCCTACGCGCCAGTTTACAACATTCGTTTCTCAAAAACATGCATTCATGGTATGAGGAGCCAAGAACAATGACTTTGATTTCCCAAAAAGTCATTAACACAAAATAACATAAGTAGACAAAGAGGTTTTCGTGTATAGAGAAATGAATGTGAAGATGGTTGTACTTGTTCTCCTCAGGAATGACTTAATTTATTTATTTGACATATTAGTCAAAGTAGTAGAACTTGGGTTGGTTCAAGCGCACCCACATGGCCCAAATCCAGGGATTTACAAACTCTTTTGCATGATGATTGTGGTGATGTGTCCAACTAATTGGTTTCCAGAGCGGTTTTTCCACATTCCTTGGGCTCCTGCGCTCAATTGTACCAATATATCCTAGCGCACAATTTGTTAAGGCTTTGTAGGGCAATAGTATCTAAGGTGCAAACTCTTTTGTTTTCTAATCAGTATGGGATAGGAGTAAAAGAGAAAGGTTACTACAAGAGTGTTCAACTCCAATGGNATATTGAATACACTAAGTGAATTGCCTACATGTAAGCTTTTTTGAAAACTTAAAAGTGAACATAGGAGTCATGTAAAACTTATGGGGCCTATGCATACACATAGATACAGATGCCCCAACTAGCCCCCACCCCACCCCTTTTTCCGGCCACCTCCCAAAACACAGAGACCGCTCGGCCCCATTCCCTTACGACCATTAGATTCACCCATTCCCATGAAGGCTACCACCCAAATCAATGTTCCTTCCCCTTTGGACAACCACTATATTTGCCTCATCTAGCTCTTCCAGACACCACTCTACACCCAACAATGTAGTAATCTGTATATAGTTGAACAAGGTTATAGCAATTATCAACTAAGACGTGACAAATCTCTATCTTTAAGGGTAGATTTTACCCCTTGGAGACCTTGCCTTGATGCAATAGATCAATGACGCCTACGCGCCAGTTTACAACATTCGTTTCTCAAAAACATGCATTCATGGTATGAGGAGCCAAGAACAATGACTTTGATTTCCCAAAAAGTCATTAACACAAAATAACATAAGTAGACAAAGAGGTTTTCGTGTATAGAGAAATGAATGTGAAGATGGTTGTACTTGTTCTCCTCAGGAATGACTTAATTTATTTATTTGACATATTAGTCAAAGTAGTAGAACTTGGGTTGGTTCAAGCGCACCCACATGGCCCAAATCCAGGGATTTACAAACTCTTTTGCATGATGATTGTGGTGATGTGTCCAACTAATTGGTTTCCAGAGCGGTTTTTCCACATTCCTTGGGCTCCTGCGCTCAATTGTACCAATATATCCTAGCGCACAATTTGTTAAGGCTTTGTAGGGCAATAGTATCTAAGGTGCAAACTCTTTTGTTTTCTAATCAGTATGGGATAGGAGTAAAAGAGAAAGGTTACTACAAGAGTGTTCAACTCCAATGGTAGAAGACAAGGGATTTTTTGGCTTTTGAAATACACCAATTAAGTCAAGAGTTATAACATGGCCCTGCACCAAATTAGCCTCCTCCCCCTGCGGGAAGCCATCATAATCATGCTATGCATCCACAAATAGGTGATAGGTGGTGTATTGTGTTTTGTGGTCTAATGAGCGATGTGTTCGGGTGCACAGTGGGGAGGACGGGAGAGAGAACAGAAGATCAATGGAGGTGGTGGCAGATCAATAGTAATCCAAGTTTAGGTTGTGTCGTGGTTGGGTTGTGGGTGTGTGTTTGTGGATCATACTCAAAAGGGGTACATGTGAAAAATGAAAACTATCACGATGTCTCCAAATTCTATTGGTCTGTCTAGTGGTTGACTAACAATAGGCATCATGTGAAGTCGAGTCCCAAACTAGATGGGTTTCAGAAACACAAGGGTATCATCTATAATTTTAGTAAGCCACAAGGGTATGAATTCTTTGTTTAGAGTAATTCATGCAAATGACTATCACAACCTATATCATTTTGCAAAAGGGTCGAGGCATTATAATGTCGACACAATTTCTTGTCAAGGCTCGAAGGGTACTCATTGTTTTGGTGAGTACCGGAAAGGTTGGTCAAGTGATACTTTTAGGGTGAAAATGAAATGATTGGGGGTAGAATTATGACTACCAACTTAACAGATGTTAATTCTTGTATGTCGTTAAGTACGATGAGTGATGCCATGTGATTAAACTTTTGAATGTTGTGGTTGGCTTTGAATTGATGAGTGATGCCATGTGATTAAACTTTTGAATGTTGTGGTTGGCTTTGAATTGAGTGAATTCTTGTGGTTGTAGGGAATCATAGGAAAA